AACACAGCAGAACAGAACAAAACAGAACAATGCCCAACCAGAACAGAACAGAGCAGAACACAGCAGAACAGAACAAAACAGAACAATGCCCAACCAGAACAGAACAAAACAGAACAGAGCAGAACAATGCCCAACCAGAACAGAACAGAGCAGAACAGAGCAGAACAGAGCAGAACGCAGCAAAACGGAGCAGAGCAGAGCAGAGCAGATAGAACCGGGGACTACGGGGGCTTGTCCTTTCAAGAGCCATCCGCGGTCTCCGCAAGGATGGGGTCCTATGCAAAGGAGTCCGTCCCAAAGCATTTCAACACATAATAAGTTTTACACATAGACTTACTGATATATAGGGACTCGAAACCATGAAAAGGCCTTGTCGTAGACTTCACCGGACTAACAACCGGTCATCATTGTGGTATCCTTCCGGTCATCTGCCTCGCCTGGATGGGCAGACGCAAAGCGCCTCGTCTTGCGGTTCCATCGCAAAGCGTCGGATCCCGAGGCTCTTCGCAGACGCATGTTCTGAGCCTCTGAAAAAGTGACCAACCAATTAGCGGAGCCAGCTTAAACATTCAGCGCTGTTGAGTAACCTCGTGTAACTTCATCTTTTTGAACAAAAAGAACTGTGTGAAGTCAAATGTGGACTCACTCTGATCTGATGTCTTCTGCTTCAGCCTTTGACCACACAAACTCCATCCAAGAAGCGTGTCAACCAGTCATCATCAGATTCATCGGCAACATAAAACCGCTGTGCTGTGCTACACAAAACCTATCCACTTTTCCGAGAGATCGTCTGCTGTACAAGGCAGCCAGCTGTATCAACCACAAACCCGGCAAAAAGCAGTCTGTGGTGGCCATGATTCTCTTAAATCCGTGGGCTCTTGAGAAAGAGTGACCAGTTCCCTTACAATCATCTCTCATGGCGATCTTTCTCCAACATAGCATGCCAACACCACAGCAAAAACACCTCCTCATAGACAACCCTTGTCTTTCTTTCAGGTCTGACGTCTCCAGTTTGACCTCCGAGGTTTGTGAGGTTTGTCTTCACATGTCGCTGTGAACATGCGGGGCTTTCAGATCTCGATACGCCCCCTTAAACCAACCATCTAGGAAGCACCCATACGATCTTCGATTCAGAACAGGCACAACATTGAAAGAACAACGGTGGTGTGTCCTTCATCATTTCTTGTACATGTGAGTCAATCACGGGATCTGATCAGAGCACAGTCCGTCTTTCAAAGCGGAGACATGGCGGCCTCACACATTGCCCTGGCCCGCCCTTTCGCCATCTCAGGACACCCATTGAGAGCCTGAGTGGACAACATTTAGAGCTACTATAGCTACCTCTCTCTTCCTCTAACTACAACACCTACCCGGGAGACAACGTTTGGGTTCTGAGACGAATCGTTCGAAGCGAGGCCATGGGACGTCATGGGACATCCAACTTGGACCGACGGGCCGGCGCCGACTCAATCGGGCCTAGGAGGTAAGCTAAAGTAATAGCTTCTTGTTACTACTAGTAAGGCACTTGTTACTACTAGCGTGGCACTTGTTACTACTAGCGATGCACTGTTTCTAATAGCTTCTTATTAGGAGAAGTTCACTTCTAGCTAGGATAGGTCACGCTTCCTTCGGGGGGAGCTTCCTTTGGCCAAAGCGCTCGCACTAATCATTTGGTTCCTAGATTTTGAGGGAAACTGGAGATCCATCAAAAGCACCCAACATCAAGGAAGACATGGGGTGGGACTGGTGTGAACGCCGCTTCGTTGCTTCAGCTTCTTACCAACATCTCAGTCCTGACATACAAAGAAATACATGTACAGTAAAAACAAAAAACAGCTCCACACACACACTCACACAGACTTTTCTACAAACTTCATCTGGTCTTCCATGTTCTGGCCAAAACACGCTCCGAGCTGGGGAAGGACTCGATGTGATCATACCATCGCCTGTCATGGAGTCTCGAGCCCTCCTTGAAGTCGCGTGCAAAAAAAAACACCGAAAGAAGAGACACATTAATTAAGAACATCCATCCACCAAGTCTAGATCTTCGATGGATGGTCTGATGTCTGACCGGTCGGACCGAAAAGGACGTCCCGGTCGCCTCAGGTTCGGTGTCGTGGGAGCGCCCGACCTCGGGTGGGGAGCCGGTTACGAACGACGGTTACGCCGAAAAGAGGTCAGCGAGAACTTCTCTCCGGTTTGCCCATGCGGAGTTGGCCAAATGCCCTGGAATACCCATTGAAGAGACCAAGGCATTCGTTTCCTTTTTGGAAGAGACCGCATCGGCACATCCGAGGCACTCCGAGAGCTGTTGGAAGAGCTCGGCGTCGGCCCTGCTGGGCTCGAAGCCCTTCACATATGGATGGCTCTCCAAGAAGGCCTGGCAAAAGGAGTCTCGTTTTCTTTTTCTTTTTCCAGCGCAAAGGAGTCGTTTCTCGTTTTTTTGGGGGTTAGGAGGCCATCGCAGCTATTAGGGTTAGGAACTGTGGTCTGCGGTGTGAGTTGGCACCCTCCGTAGTCTTCGGAGTCACAGCGGGCCAACCTCGCCGCCTCGACACGGCGGACTTTCCTCGACTCTGGCATCGCACCTCAACATCCTCATCGACGGCCAAAGCGGCAAACTTCTCGTTGGCCTTAGCGTGTTAGCTTGGAGACGACGGAAAACGTTCTGAAGCTCGTGACGGAAGACCCAAAGGTTTGGACTCGGAAATCGGCACCCCCTATACTCATCCCCGGCATCCTTTGGCCCCCTTGCTCATCGCTCCAAGTCTGTCAGAGGGTAAGGCCCAAAGCGAAGTTTTGACAAAGAACTTACCTGTGAGAAGCTTACAGCTTTATTCTATAGCTACGTGGAGGGCCTTTGGTCATTCGCCATATATTTGGTCATTGCCCAAGTGGCCGCTTTCCGCAACTGCAGCGAGCCCTGCTTTTGGAAAGTGGGCCTGAAGTGCGAAGAAACTCCGTCGGAGTCGCCGTGAGAACCTCACAAATTCAAATGTGTTTCTTCTTCCAGAATAACCTCTCTATCTGTCATTCGATCCTTTTCCAACTCTTCTTATTGATTCGTTTCAATGTTCGTTTTGGTCTTTTTCCCGTTCCTTTTTCCACATTTCGTGGACCCATTGGAGCTCGGCTTGGCAGGAGATTTGGCCGTGGGCTCTTTGGGCTCTGGAAGCGTCCTGAGATACAGAAGACAAGACCCTCTGATGGTTGTTTTTGCTTTTCAATTAGGTTGGAGGCCATCGCTAGTAGAGTGGAGGCCATCGCTATTGGGTTCCTGAAAGTACAGTTTTCTCTTTTTCTTATAAGCCTAAATTCTTTTCAATTCTTTTCATCGGCTTTCCACATCGCCGGGTTACGTCTTCTTCAGTGCAGCGGGGAGACGTCCCTGGAAGGCCTGGCTGGAGCTTGGTACCATCCTCTTGGTATCAACATGTACCAACCAACCAGCATCTGACTTTTCAACTCAACAAAGAAGGAATCAAAGAATCGAAGTAAGTCATATGTTTTAGTTATTTGATCTAGAAATGTCTTCTCTTTGCTCTGGAATTGTCATTGCCCTCGATAGGTTTCTTTTGAACCCCCCTGTGTGTGGCCTCGAACTGCCGCAAGGGTTGTGAGCTGGGCATCGCCCTTACGTGAATTCAATGGAGACAAAGGGAGGAACAAGGCTTAACAAGTTCAACAGAACCTCTTCACCCAAAGCGATTGGGTCAATGTTCGCTACTAGGGGCTCCTGGCCGTACTACCATAGGAACAATGTTGGCTATTAGAAACAATGACATTGGTAGAATTAGAATTAAACTAAACTAGGCTTAACAAGTTCAACAGAATGTTAAGTTATAAATACGTTGAATCATAGGCATAGCACCATCCTGCACCATGCTTTGTGAGAGACCAGCATGTATCGAAAGACAGTTCACTCTTTCATTCAAACACGCAGAAGTGAATCATCAGAGTCTAAAGGAAGCTACTAGGAACAAGGTGCATCGCTACTAGTAGTAGCTCCGGGCATTACACGTAGTAACAAGAAGCTACTAGGAACAAAGGGCATTGCTACGAACGGAGCAAGGAAGCTACGAACGTAGGTCCTGGCATTACTACTATATGGGAACAAGGACGATACTACAAGTAGTAACAAGTGAATCATCAGTATGTCCTGATGACTCTCCCCGTCGTCTCCCAGTGGAACGGTGGGACGCCGCCCGAGAGTGATCTGAATTCGGGAACTGGATCGGCGACCCTTGGCACCGGTGTGGTTTTGGACTGGAGACCCCGGTGGCCGACTGTGTCTCAACTGGTACACAGTGAGAAAACGAACTTCGAAGCGAACTGAAGCATTCACGCCAACTGGACCTGCGCCGAGAAACAGTGGTGAAACGTGAACGGAGAAATCATCAGCCCAGCAGCTTGGGACTTGGACTTGATCGAACATGCTCAAAAAGGAAAAACACAACAAACATCAACAAACTCAAAAACACAAAACGCAACTGTCCTGTGTGTTTGCTTTTAAATGTTGGTTCCCCGACTCTGAATCCAGCTTGGCAATGAAGTCCACCATGGAGAAGACACCCAAGGGCTTTTCAGATTCTCTGGACCTGATCGGATGTGAAAGTGAACACCAAGTGGAGGGAAGTGGAGGACTTGATCGATCTTTATCCTAATTATTCCTGATTTATAAAGAAACCTCTGCTCATTCGCTTCAAATCCTCGAATCACTTCTGACTTGATCTCCTTGAGACCATCCCAAGGTCCCTTCGTCCCCATTGTAGACCCTTTCGCCCAACTCGCCCAACGACATCGGCCTCAAGTTCACGGAAAGGCCGTTCTGCTCCTCCGCGCCCACCACCGCCACCTGAGGCGGGTCCGTGAGGCGGGTTCCGAACTGATCCATCTGGCCGAAGGGATCCGAATTCGAGATGGTTTTGCCTGGCTTGGCCCCAACTTTGAAGATTAAGCGACCAAACACCAGCTGTGGTCCGTCTCGCTCGGCGGCCCAACGTAGTTCCACTGAGCCAGCTGGGCTTCTCGCACCTGTCCAGAGAGCGATCGATCGAATTTCCCTCGGTTTTTGATCCCCAACAGTCTCTCCACTTCGACCTGGGGGGTTTCCACTCTGATCTGCGCCAACAACGTCTAGACCCCGCTTTCGGTACACAAAACGTCTTGAACTTAACGGAACACACTTCAGCATCCCAGCACTGCCCACTGCACCTTCTTGTTCAACGTCTTTCCACTCGTCTCCGCCTTCGAAGGACAGCGCAAACCGCGCAGACCGCCAGCCGATCGCCGTGTGTTCGGTTCCAAAGGATGGGGGATGAGGAGAAGAGAGGGAGCACCTTGGAGAGTTGGACCACCGGATGGGTCAAACCAACGGCCCTCGTTGACGTCCGAGTTTAAACAGTGACACGACAGACGTGACGTCAGTTTCTCGTCTCTGGCCTCCGCGTGGAAGCCATGGATCTGCAGCTGCCGCTCCACCTGGTGAGGTCGTTGGAAAACGACCAAGCCGAAGCACCCCTGTTTTTTGAACTAGTAACAAGGGCATTGCTAGGAAGAAGCTACGAACGGGGCTCCTGGCATCGCGACTCGAACCGTCCGCGCTCGGACGCTCAGAGCGCCGGTCGAGAGACCCGGTTTTGGGCGCTCTGGGCATCGGGACCCACAGCGCGTAGTCATTGAATTGAGTTCCCACCGGCACCACTTGAACCTGAGGCTGAGAGAGCGGGCGTTTGGAGTTGAAAAGAAAGGAATCAACATGCATCAACCTAGAGAACGGCTTTGATTCTGATCACTGTCCTTTGGTCTTGGCAAGTCTTGGGATGTCTGACGGGTCAGTCCTTTAAGAACTCCTAACTACCAGGCATTCTTTCGAGCTCGAAAGGCGCGCCGCGCCTGTCGAGGTGACAACCAAAAGGGCCACTTCCCGGCCTTGCTCGGTCGGGTTCGGAACGTCTACGCTCGACGGATTCCTCCGCTTGGCCGGGATGGTGATGGGTTATGGTGCGGAAGAACCAACGAGATTTTGACAAGGAATATACTCGCTTCTTCGCTTGTTCACTATAGTGTAGCCAGGGTCGTTCAATAAGAAGCCGATGAAAAACTGTTCTACAGGTAAAGCACTTTAGGGAAAGTTAGTTCTTCACTGAATGAGAGTTCTTTGTTGTAGGTATGCACGCTGGCTCGTTATGTAAAAGGCTCGAGATAGGGGATGCAAGGTTTCTGGCTTAAGTGTCGCGCTTACTATGGCACCCAAAAAGCGCCCTGCCGGTGCTATGGATGTCTGCATGAAGAAGCCAGCATCAGCAGCAGCAGCTTTGAAGCGTCCAGCTTATGGCAAGAAGCCAAGGACCGACTTATGTTATGGGCAGAAGACGTGGGTTGGGGTTCACTGACTGAGTTACTCGCCGGATCTTTCTTGTTCAAGCTGGTTCAAGTTCTGTGTGAAACATGCAGCAGATGCTGTGATTTGTTTATATATTTTATTTTTGAGGGTTGATGGAAGTAGATGTTTGATAGAACTAGCACACCTGACAGATAGAACTAGCACACCTGACAGATCATGACAGCTAAATGTCCCTGCTCGTGGTCATTGGTAAACAAGCTGGGTCACACCACCTATTACGTCCAATTGTCCAAACGGATGTGCAATGGATTCTGATTCTGCAGTCGTTTTTGCGGAGTCTGATGCAGAGTCTCATCCTCTTCCTTCCGGATCTCGGGATGGACGCCCCCACTCCACGACAAGAAAGAAAACCCTAGCTTCGGTCACAGAGCTTTTGAAGCGGCTGTGCAGTTGTGCGAAGCATGAATGCTTTCGGCAATTTCGCGGACGAGAACAGGAGATTCTGAGTGAACGCGAACGGTTTGAAAGCTTACCAGGGTTTCGGAAAGAAGCTAACCTCGCAGTAGCCATGACACCTCAGCTTTTGATTCGTGTTGTTTCTGTCCTTCAAGAAACTTGGAAACCCTCAATGGGTTGTTTTGTTTGCCTATTTTTCCTCCACACTTGCATTAAGGAACAATTTGTTGCGGAATGGTACAACGCGCGGAATCTCCAAATGGGAGATGCAGCTAGTGTGAAGGAGCCATGTTCTCCTCTGCTAGAAGCTTCAGATACAGAGGATGACATCATTTTTGAAGTCACACCTTCTGATCGCGGTGAAGTTTTACCTCAAACCCCAACGTCAGAGCCAGATACAAAAAATGATTTGGCTCTAGCTTCTCCACCACAGAAGAAGCGCAGATATCTGAAGGGATCGTCACCAGCAGAACCCCTCAAATTCTTGGATCGTCCAGTTGCTTGCGGCAGTAAAACTTAACCTTGTTTGGGTCTCTTGTATCTTGTTTTTTTAAGGGGGCTTTGTAGACCTGGATCTTGGGAATGCTGATGTCATCTTGATTTGGGGTGAAAGCACCTACCGCCCGGTTTTTGTATTAGCAGCTCCGCCAAGGTTTGCCAGGCAGCCCACAAACGGCTGTATGGTGTGGGGTCTGGAGTGCTACAAGCAATGCGGGAGGGGAAGCCGGGGTATACTATGGACCAGCACCGTGTTTACCACCCAAAACATCCGACTATGGACCTCTCTATGCGCCGGTCTGTGGACGGCAAATGGCAATATATCCTATGTTTCTTTTGGTTGCTTTATGTCAGTGAAGCTGAAATCCTACCAACAAGATTCGGCATGCCCTCAGAGAAGGTCCTTAAAGCAAACGCCCATGACGAGGATTTTGAAGAGCGGTACGTGACCAATTATTTGCGGGACATTGATGCTCAGTTTGCAATGCCAAGCATAGAGCACTTGGGGCCTGGCAGCTTTTCAGGCCCCTGTCGATTCCTAGAATGGGCACAGCCGGTTGACATTTTCTACCAGTATGTAGCTCATGAAGAGAATGAGGGACGGAAGCCATCAACCTTGACAACTTTCATGAAGGTGTACCACAAGGTGTTTGGTACATTCTTGAAATTTCGCGGCAAGTTGGAGCACGCTCAGTGCAACCATTGTGCTCGCCTAAAGGCCAAGATCAAAGGAGCCCGATCAAAATCTGATCGGACTCAGTTTGTGCGTGAGTTTTCACAGCACATTCTATCTCAATGGCTTGATCGCCAGGTGTATTGGAAGATAAGAGGCCTTTCACAGAGATTCTTTTCAGCAAGCTTGCCGGCAAGCGATGACGTTGGGATCTTCAGTTCTGTCGCATGCATTATAGTTGACGGGATGGACCAAAGCAAACTGAGGACTCCCCGCTTTGGTCACCTTCGCATCAGCAAACTTCTGGAGCAAGTGTTCCGACCCACGCTTCACTTAGCTGGGGTCTGGATCCATGGCTCTGAGCTGTACCTGCCTATTTCTGATGAAAGTCTGAAAAAGGACAGTGAAACACAAATTGAAATGATGGCAAGGTCCCTGAGTGCACTTTGCAGACTGGGGCCAGGACGGCTTCCCTTGGGATGCCACATTCAAGCTGACAATTGCTTTCGGGAAGGCAAAAACCAATACATTGCCTGTTTCCTTTTGTTGTTGACAGTGATTGGAGCCTTTAGATTTACATCCATGGGCTTTTTGCGCACGGCGCACAGCCATGAAGACATCGATCAGATCTTCGGGCAAGTCAGCAGACTACTGAAAGCCAAATCCTTTAATACACCGAGCCAACTCATCCAGCTGCTGCAGTCAGTGACCCAAAGGTCAGGAGAGCCCAGCCGGATTCGAGGCACTGTTGTCCATCCTTACAAATTGGACGAAGTTGCTCGCTGGAAGCAATTTACCCAACAGTTGGGCATTGCATTCAAAGGACTCAGATGCTTGACCTTGCGACAAATTTAGATTTTCTGCACATGTTTTGTTTTTTTAATGTCCCTTGGGTGGAACAAACACAAGAACCGGATCTTGAAAACAGTGAGGATAAAGGCCAACTGTCAACTGAGGACATATTCATTACATCCGATTTTGTTCCCGTGCTGACATTGAACGAGATATCTGGGACAATGTGGCTGAAGTGGAAGATTTCAAACATGGAAGCCAACCTCCTAGGTCAGATCAAGACATATTCTTAATTGCCAAAAGATGGTTGGCTGACCGGCAGGTGTTGCGACTTGTGGCCGTTGTCCCGGGTGAAACGGCGGCGAAGATTCGCGTCGGGCTGCACCTGCCTGAGGGGGTTGCCCCAAGACGAGGAATTTCTGAAACGGTGCGATCAAACATAGCTCGTTATGTACCGCGATGCCGCGCACAGGGCGATCTGAATGCTGTGGCTGCAAACTACTTAATGGGGTGGTCGACCGGAACCCTAGAGACAATTCCAAGGCCAAATGTTTATGAGATTTTGAGCTACAGATGGCGCCGTGAACACAGAGACGAAGTTGTTGTGCCAGGCTCTTGGACGAAGCCTGGGCGAAAGAGACATATCGATCTTACAGTTGATCTCAGAGGTGAACAGTCGTCATCCGGCGACTCTGAGGGAGATATTGTTCTCCCACGCGTTCTGCTTGATGATCGCGACAATTGACGGACGACAAAAAAATAGTTGGTATCGGAGATGGGTTGGTGACCACCAAACACGTGATTTGAAGATGCTTTTGACGACGACACAATTGTATAATACTCTTCTGGGTTCTGGCTATAAATAAGAGCTCCTTTGCAGGCCCTATTGGCAGTGCTAGAATGTACTATATAGACAGGAACACAATAATTTTGCCCAAACCAACTTAGGGGGACTGATAAAGCTACAGGACCAGGATTGCCTTCACATCAGCATGTTTTTTCTATGAGTTGAACCTGCGTTGGTTGAATTGGCTGCAAGTTTGTGGGCCCTTTGAGGGTAAGAAACCAACACAAAGACATCCCAACATCCTTCTGCAATAGAACACTTCAAGGGAGGCAAGATCACAGGATAAGGCAGTCATTGATGCCCCAACGTGCCAGGAGCGAAGAAGATGAGGAAGAGCTTTTTGTGGCCTCTGACATTGATAATGCCTCTACGCAGCCTGAGTTTCTAGGCCCTGTCTAGTTTCAACTCCTCTAGGTCTTTCTGGGCGTTGGACTGGGAAGTCATTGTGGAGAGACGAAGCGGCCGACATAGAAACCGTTCAATGGTAAGAAACCTTTTTGGGAGAGATATAGGTGTGGCCTAATTGGAGGGACATGGAACTCTAAACCGCTCAACTCCTGAGGAGTGGAGTCATGGAGGAGACTGATGTTGAGGCTTTTGTGGATGGTCCTGTGAGCAGTCCAGACGCAGCACGCCCGTTCAATGATCTTGGCATCTTGCAAGATCATGATTGCGATTTCAGGGATTCCAACACTGCCATCAATGCAACTAGACCAATCGGAAAGTATTTTATTTGTTACTCATGTTGGACTTTTTTACTCATGTTAGGACCCTTCCGAAGTCATTGTTTCAGAATGGGACCTGACATTTCTTACTAGCTCTTGGCTCTTGATGAAGGTACGCGGCTTCACGAAGGACTACCTGCACATCTACCAGCGCAAGCTGCACCGCAGCTTTGGGGGGGGTCAATCGTCTCGCTGATGGTGTGATCCGCATTGGCTCCATTTGCTCTGGCCTTGGAACAGCAGAGATGGTTGCTCAGCATGTTCAGGATGAATGGAACGCTTGCCACGAAGAGGTTCCCATCAAGGCATTTTGTTGGAAAGCAGGAAAAAGGACTTATTTCTTAGGTTCCACATTGTGGTTCGATGTTGTGTTACTTTTGGGTTGGTAGACTTCAAAGACATTCAATTTTATGGTTCGGATTCACTTTCATTCCCACCTAGGGCGCAAATCACCCACTGCGGAATAAGTAAATTTGTAATGGGTTTCCTGGGCGGGTTCAACACAAAAATACAAGCACTGACCGTGTTTGTCCCTGCAGCTGGAGTGCACTTTCATGGTGGAGATTGAGAAGAAAAAGCGTGACTTCCTTTTGC